CAGTTCCTTGAGGATATAGAATACATATATGTGGTTAGTTTTTTCAGGGTGCTTAATGTACATAGTTTAAGTTCATTAAATGTTTTTGAATGCCCGATTCATTTAGGGTAGGCACAATATTAATTAAATTATAGAGTTGAGAATATCCAAAAATCATTCTTTCTGTTCCATACTTTAAATGTTGAAAAGGTTCAATTTTGTCAGGTGTTTGTTGAAATTTGAAAGCAGGCAAGGTGTGTAGAGTCCGAATACATTAATCTACCTTCTTTTTCTAAGTAATTTTTACTTTCCTTTCAGGTTGTTGCCAGCAAAGGAGGTTTTGAAATGGTCACCAAAGAAAAGAAATGGTCTAAAGTGGGTAGCCGCTTGGGATATCTGCCAGGAAAAGGAACTGGGTCTCTTTTGAAGTCACACTATGAAAGAATTCTCTACCCATATGAGCTTTTCCAATCTGGTGTCAGCCTTATGGTGAGATGCATCATTTTATATAGGGGTGGATAAATCTAGTATGCCAAGTATAATCTTTAGATCGTATTCACCATAACAAGTTAGCAGTTGGCTGTACATAGCAAGTTGAAAACAATTTGTCTAGGTACCAAAATTTTGGGGTGGCAGGGGGTGTAGTTTAAAAATCATAGCTACTTTTGGTAATTTACAAGTTAAAAGCTAATGGGAATGAGGCTGTTTTCCTATTTAAAAGAAATCCTCATTACTGAAGCTCTTTGAAAAATTCCTCCTCATGATTTCATATTTTTTATTTAGCACCTTTATTGAGGTATAATTTACATACCATAGAATTCACCTACTGTAGGTACACAGTCAATAAGCTTTAATGAATTTTACATTTGTGCGACAATCACAATCCAGTTGTAGAACACTCCCGTTAGTCCAAAAAGCTCCTTTGTGTTGTTTGTATTGGTTTCTTCTCCTACCCCCAAACCCAGACAACAACTGATCTGCTTTCTGGCTCTATAGTTTGCGTTTTTTAGAAACTTCACATAGATGGAATCATACAATATGATTTTGTGTCTGGCTACTTTTCACTTAGTGTACTTACAGTGTCTTCAAGGTTCATCCCTTTTGTAGCTTTGTTCTTTTTTATGGCTGAATAATATTTCACTATGGATATATAATATTTCTTCTTTTATCAGTTGATGGACAGCTGGGTTATTTCCAGTTTATGACTACTATAAATAATGCTATAAATATTCATGTACAAGTCTGTGTGTGGACATATGTTTTCATTTCTCTTGGGTAGATACCTAGGAGTGGAATTGCTGGGTTTATATGGTAAGTTTATGTTTAACTTTCTAAGAAACTGCCAAACTGTTTTCCAAAGTGGCTGAACCATTTTACATTCCCACCAATAATGTACAGGCTTCCAGTTTCTCCACATCTCTGCCAACACTTGGTATTGTCAGTTATTTTGCTTATAACCATTGTGGTAGGTGTGTTAGTGGTATCTCATTGTGGTTTTAATTTTAATTTCTCTAATGACCAATGATGTTATGCTGCTTTTCATGTGCATATTAGCCATTTATACATTTTAATTGATGAAGGGTCTGTTCAAATCTTTTTTTTATTGGGTTGTCATCTTATACTTGTTTTAAACGAATTTGCTCTGTATTCTGAATACAAGTCCTTTATCAGATATATGATTTTACAAATATTTTCTCTTAGTCTGTGGTTTATCTTTTCATTTTTATAGTGGTGTCTATTTGAAGAGTAATTTATCAGTTTTTTTCCCCCTTTTATTAATTGTGCTTCTGTTGTCATATCTAAGAAATCTTTTCCTAACTCAAGGCCGCAGACTTTCTTCTTTGTTTTCCTCTAGAAGTTTGTTTTAATATTTTGAATTTGGTTTTGTGCATAGTATGAGGTAAAGGTATAAGTTCCATTTTTGGTAGAGGGGGGAATGAATATCCAGTTGTATCAGTACCATTTGTTTAAAAGACTTACTCTTTCCCCATTGATTTGCCTTGGTGCCTTTGTTGAAAATCAATTGACTACAAATATGTGGGTTTATTTCTGGTCTCTGTTTTGTTCTGGATCTGTTATTTATCCTAACACCAATACTATACTGTCTTTGAGTACTGTAGTTATGTAGTAAGTTTTGATATCTAGTAGTATAAGTAAGTCCTCCAACTTTTTCTTCTTTTTTCAAGATTTCCAAATACTTTGCATTTCTACATAAATTTTAGAGTCAGCATCTCAATTTTTTACAACAAAGTCCTGCTAGGATTTTTATAGGGATTATCTTGAATCTGTAGATCAGTTTGGTGTAGAATTACCATCTGGTTTCATTTAATTTTAGGGATTGATTGGAAATTTATTATTTTTCCCTGATTCTCAAATTTGATTTATTACTAGTGAATCTGCCCTTTTTCTGTGCTTTAATTCTTTAGGGTGTACACATGCCTAATCTAGATCTTAAGGAAAAAGTGGAGCCTGAGGTTCTTGGCACTGATGTCCCAACTTCTCCAGAGCCAGGTACAAGAATGAATATTCTGCCGAAGAGAACGAGACGTGTCAAGTCTCAGGTATCAATTTCCATGGGCCATTTTTAACATGAGTTTTGACTGCGTTGACTGGGCAGAATAATTATCTAGGTTCGGGAGGTCATTTACATACTCTTCTGTAAAACTTAAAGAGACCTATCTTTCATTTACCTTTGAGATGAATGGAGAAGAAATTGTAAAATTCAATCTTAATTTGATTTACTAAAGTTCTTTGTTAATTTTGAAGTTTCTGATAGGATGACAAATCAGGGTAACTCCGGATACTGGGGCCAGTTTCATGGACATGCTGATAAATTTTGGTACATTTTATTTTCACGGTTGGCAGAAGTGAGAGCAGTAGAGAAGAGTGGTTTTATTTTTTACTCATCATTCTGAGTTTCTTAGTGTCTGAACCATTCCAATGTAGCTTCTATAGTGTTCTTGTAACCTAAAATAATTTCAGAGGCTAACAAATGCATCAGAAGAAAAATGCTCTAATTTATTTTAGTCTGCCCCTCCCTCCTCTTCCTATTCCCATTTCCTTATGGTCCTGAAAGTTGTATTTTTTAATGTTTTTTGGTAAAGATAGTCTGTAAGCTGGGACAGTGAGGTACCCTGAGATCTCTGAGATATGTTGCATTTAAATTGACATATGGGTGGGCCAAGATAACAACTGGGTCCTAAATCATTGACTTTAACATATTTAAAGAAACACTTTGTGATAAGGATGGAAATGGTTCACATTGAAAGTGAGGATGAGAGAAGGAAGATAAGTCCACTAATTAAAAAGAGACATTAGAGCTGGGGTTGTGAGGAGTCCTGACTGGAGAGGCAGGCTTTTCTAGCCCTCAGGTCATATCTCTTTCAGGTCATGTCTGCTTTTCTTGTTCTGACTCTGTGCTCATTAAATAACCTTCTGAGTAATAATTTAACTTTTTAGGTACTTTGGTAGCAGAAAAGTAGGTGTCTTGGATGGGGAATGTGAATTTAATGGAAAATCATTGGAAAGGGATAGCCCCATTATAAATTATAAACTCTGGCTTGCTTAGTAAGTGATTTTTATAACTATAGTTTACCTTGGAAATTCTGATCATTCTATTTCAAGACCTGAAACACTTGAAGACTAGTTTTTTTTTTGACTTGGTGACTCAAGCATTGAAGAGTTGCCCCAGGTACCCCTGCCTATCTAATCAATTACCAGCTTATGATGAAAATGCCTTTTGATGTTCCTTTTGACCTCTTGAAAAAGTCCTGCTTATTTCTAATTGTCTCTCTTTATATAAGAACAGGGACAACGTAGAATACTTTTACCCATTGTAATAATTGCCACTGTAGTCAGATTCGTTGATACTAGATAGAGATTAGAACCATTTCAGGTTTTGCATTTAAGAATTTTTTCAACTCATAATTTGTCCATAATTACTATATTGCCAATCTGCTTCATTTCTAGTTTTCTATTTCAGAAACAGAGTATAGGCTTTCTGGTAGCACTCCTTCACCTTTTTGTCCCATACACAAAACTGTTGTTACTCATTCTTAATCTCTGGCTATCTCTGTGGGCAAAGTGTACCTTTGTCTCCAAGGATAGTCCTTCCACTTCCATCCTTTCTGGCTTATTTAGTGATTTCAGTGATTTCAGATCAGTTGTGAAGTCTTCTACCTCCTCTGCTAGATCTGTCCCTCTTGCCGTATCCTCCCACACCCCCACCCTGCCCCAAGTCTCTATCATCTTAAAAACAAAGGCCCTCTTCCTAGATAATGCATTACTCCTTTCCTCTTCACAGAGAAGTTTCTTGAAGAATAGTCTATATTGTACTACTTTCCTCAATGTCTGTTTAGTTTTTATGCTCTAATCTGACTTGGAGCCAAATAATTTCATTTAAACTATACTATCCCAGTTACCACTGAGTTAGTAACTGTCAAATGCTGAGGACCCCTTTTCACTTCTTACCCTACTTCATCTCTGGCCATGTATACATTTAATATGGTTATTGACTCCTCTCCTCAAAATTTTATTGTTTTTATTTTTCTTTAGCTTCTGTGACATCTCCCTTCTGGATTTCTTCTACACTCTCTGACCACTCCTCAGTCATATTTGTTATCTCTTCTCTCTGCCCTTTACATGTTATCTTCAGTTCTTCCCTGTCTTCCCTCTCCCTAGCTATCTGATCCACCCTGTGATTGAAATTACTTCCTGTACACTCAGGACTTTTAACTATGTCTTGACATGAATGCTTCTTTTCTGTTCACCAGTGGTGTGTGTATATGTATTCATGTGTATGTGTATTCCTTGGTGGCTGGGCACGGTTATACCAAATTCACTACATCTCAAACATTACCACCTTTTCTAAATCTGTTTTGCTTTATTATTTTCTAGCTTTGAATTACCATCTGGTTTCATTTAATTTTAGGGATTGATTGGAAATTTATTATTTTTCCCTGATTCTCAAATTTGATTTATTACTAGTGAATCTGCCCTTTTTCTGTGCTTTAATTCTTTAGGGTGTACACATGCCTAATCTAGATCTTAAGGAAAAAGTGGAGCCTGAGGTTCTTGGCACTGATGTCCCAACTTCTCCAGAGCCAGGTACAAGAATGAATATTCTGCCGAAGAGAACGAGACGTGTCAAGTCTCAGGTATCAATTTCCATGGGCCATTTTTAACATGAGTTTTGACTGCGTTGACTGGGCAGAATAATTATCTAGGTTCGGGAGGTCATTTACATACTCTTCTGTAAAACTTAAAGAGACCTATCTTTCATTTACCTTTGAGATGAATGGAGAAGAAATTGTAAAATTCAATCTTAATTTGATTTACTAAAGTTCTTTGTTAATTTTGAAGTTTCTGATAGGATGACAAATCAGGGTAACTCCGGATACTGGGGCCAGTTTCATGGACATGCTGATAAATTTTGGTACATTTTATTTTCACGGTTGGCAGAAGTGAGAGCAGTAGAGAAGAGTGGTTTTATTTTTTACTCATCATTGAGTTTCTTAGTGTCTGAACCATTCCAATGTAGCTTCTATAGTGTTCTTGTAACCTAAAATAATTTCAGAGGCTAACAAATGCATCAGAAGAAAAATGCTCTAATTTATTTTAGTCTGCCCCTCCCTCCTCTTCCTATTCCCATTTCCTTATGGTCCTGAAAGTTGTATTTTTTAATGTTTTTTGGTAAAGATAGTCTGTAAGCTGGGACAGTGAGGTACCCTGAGATCTCTGAGATATGTTGCATTTAAATTGACATATGGGTGGGCCAAGATAACAACTGGGTCCTAAATCATTGACTTTAACATATTTAAAGAAACACTTTGTGATAAGGATGGAAATGGTTCACATTGAAAGTGAGGATGAGAGAAGGAAGATAAGTCCACTAATTAAAAAGAGACATTAGAGCTGGGGTTGTGAGGAGTCCTGACTGGAGAGGCAGGCTTTTCTAGCCCTCAGGTCATATCTCTTTCAGGTCATGTCTGCTTTTCTTGTTCTGACTCTGTGCTCATTAAATAACCTTCTGAGTAATAATTTAACTTTTTAGGTACTTTGGTAGCAGAAAAGTAGGTGTCTTGGATGGGGAATGTGAATTTAATGGAAAATCATTGGAAAGGGATAGCCCCATTATAAATTATAAACTCTGGCTTGCTTAGTAAGTGATTTTTATAACTATAGTTTACCTTGGAAATTCTGATCATTCTATTTCAAGACCTGAAACACTTGAAGACTAGTTTTTTTTTTGACTTGGTGACTCAAGCATTGAAGAGTTGCCCCAGGTACCCCTGCCTATCTAATCAATTACCAGCTTATGATGAAAATGCCTTTTGATGTTCCTTTTGACCTCTTGAAAAAGTCCTGCTTATTTCTAATTGTCTCTCTTTATATAAGAACAGGGACAACGTAGAATACTTTTACCCATTGTAATAATTGCCACTGTAGTCAGATTCGTTGATACTAGATAGAGATTAGAACCATTTCAGGTTTTGCATTTAAGAATTTTTTCAACTCATAATTTGTCCATAATTACTATATTGCCAATCTGCTTCATTTCTAGTTTTCTATTTCAGAAACAGAGTATAGGCTTTCTGGTAGCACTCCTTCACCTTTTTGTCCCATACACAAAACTGTTGTTACTCATTCTTAATCTCTGGCTATCTCTGTGGGCAAAGTGTACCTTTGTCTCCAAGGATAGTCCTTCCACTTCCATCCTTTCTGGCTTATTTAGTGATTTCAGTGATTTCAGATCAGTTGTGAAGTCTTCTACCTCCTCTACTAGATCTGTCCCTCTTGCCGTATCCTCCCACACCCCCACCCTGCCCCAAGTCTCTATCATCTTAAAAACAAAGGCCCTCTTCCTAGATAATGCATTACTCCTTTCCTCTTCACAGAGAAGTTTCTTGAAGAATAGTCTATATTGTACTACTTTCCTCAATGTCTGTTTAGTTTTTATGCTCTAATCTGACTTGGAGCCAAATAATTTCATTTAAACTATACTATCCCAGTTACCACTGAGTTAGTAACTGTCAAATGCTGAGGACCCCTTTTCACTTCTTACCCTACTTCATCTCTGGCCATGTATACATTTAATATGGTTATTGACTCCTCTCCTCAAAATTTTATTGTTTTTATTTTTCTTTAGCTTCTGTGACATCTCCCTTCTGGATTTCTTCTACACTCTCTGACCACTCCTCAGTCATATTTGTTATCTCTTCTCTCTGCCCTTTACATGTTATCTTCAGTTCTTCCCTGTCTTCCCTCTCCCTAGCTATCTGATCCACCCTGTGATTGAAATTACTTCCTGTACACTCAGGACTTCTAACTATGTCTTGACATGAATGCTTCTTTTCTGTTCACCAGTGGTGTGTGTATATGTATTCATGTGTATGTGTATTCCTTGGTGGCTGGGCACGGTTATACCAAATTCACTACATCTCAAACATTACCACCTTTTCTAAATCTGTTTTGCTTTATTATTTTCTAGCTTGGTATCAGTGACAAGCATAGCCATCCATAATCTGTCAGATGAGAAAGAGAAATCATGAAATTTATCCTACTCCTTGCACAAAACTTTCTTGCACAGAAATGCTGATGATCATTGTCTTGTCCTGCATTGGACCTGGAATCAGCCATTTCTCCAAGGAATCCTGGTTCATTTTAGTGGGAAATGGTATATGTTCAGAAAACAAGATCTGAACACATAGTGTGCTTGTTCCTACTGGAATATCATTGTGTATAGGCACTTCTGGTGGTTAGGACTGGGATATAAATTTTAAAAACGTTATTAATTTATATTTTCAGTTCATACTGACAATTCCAGTTCTAATGCAGCATCACAAAGTTCCTCTGGTTTATATTATACTTCTTTTTCTAGCATTTTGAGTTGGGAACTTACTTCATTTATTTTTATTCTTTTGTTTTGATACATTTAAGACTATAAAATTTCCTGGGATCACTTCAAATTAATTTGTTTGAGAGATTCTGATGTGTAGTTTTTTTTTAGTCAGTTTTTTAATGGAGAGTTAGAAATTTCCAGGTGGAAGGGCCTTTTAAAAAAGTTTTTGTAATTTCTAGTTTTATTCCAATAAGATCAGAGAAATCGGACGAAATTTTTTATTTCTACTTTTTGGAACTTTATTGCCTATCTGAAAAGGTTGCTCTAAGGTTTAATTGATTAAAGTGCTTTAATATGGCACATACTATATGCTTAACATGTTAGCTTTTACTATTATGTACCTTTCTTTAATAGTCGTGAAGAATGTGTAGTGTTATATTTATCATTGGACTATAGAGTTTGATGAGTATAATCAAATTAGTGTACTAAAGCTGAAAGATAAATTTTGAAATGCCATTTTGGTTGGTTTGGTTCTTATATGATATTTTATTAGTCCAGGCTACATAGGCCAGCTGTTAATGTAGCCTTAAGCTATAGTCAGTATTCTATCTTGGTTTATTTTTATTCTATTTACTAAGTATGACTGACTAAATTTTAAGTGAGTTTTGACTTAGTATATGTATATAAATGCATTTTAAATAAGTTTGTTTATTTAATTTGTTGACGTTCAGAGATTATGGTCCATTTAAATTCAGATGTAACACTGGTGTCTTGTCAGGATGGGTCTGTTTTCAAGGACTAGAATGCCGAAGGGCAGTAGCTTAAACATTAACAGTGCAGTTTTCACATAAGGACACAGTTTTCATACAAGATTTTCAGAGTTAGGTAGTTGCAGGATTCATACAACAGCTCTGTATTTTCATCAAGGGCCCATGCTCATCATTCTGCCTTGCTTCCTTCAGCGTGTGGGTGGTCAGTCTCCTAGTTGTAGTGTGGCTGCTGCAGAGTCCAGTGCCGTGCTTTTCTAGACTGGTTTTCCTAGTCACAGGGAAAGAGGTTGGGGCAAAGTGGCTTACTCTTAAGAAGCTTTCTCTTTTATTAGAATATGAAAATCTTTTTTAGAGGCTTCTAGTAGACCTTCGCTATGTCTCATTGGCTAGACCAAAGTAACATTCCCACCTCTATCTAGGTCATCACCAACAAAGAGGCCTTGGCATGATTGACTTAGGACAATCATTATTCATCTCCTGGGAGAAGCATATTGCCTTCTAATCAAAGATGGTGTCCATTAGAAAGTTGGAAGTGGGCTTCTATGGAGTAATTATCAGTGTAATATCAGCTGTTAGAAATAAGGTCTGTCTCTGGACAGAACTTAATTGACAACTGTGCTTTTATGAAGGATAGGTTTTCTCTTGTGGAAAGCAATCTGAATGTTGCATAGTGCTTTGATGACTATGTTCATCTGTTCTAAAGAGGCAGCAAGTAAAGTTAGAAGAAATGAAATAATTTTTTTCTTCATTTTGGGGAAGATCTTAAAACTTTTCTTGGGTAAGAAAGTAAATGTATGAATCAAAATAATTAGACTAATGTGAGTTCTGTTTACTTCTCTTTTAGTCAGAATCTGGAGATGTGAACAGAAACACAGAACTGAAGAAACTTAGAATTTTTGGGGCTGGGCCTAAGGTTGTTGGCCTGACAATGGGAACCAAAGATAAAGAAGGTAAAAATCTGTTATTTGGTCATGAAAAGAAATTAGGTACAGCAGGTCCTTGTGAAATCTGTTATTTGGTCATGAAAAGAAATAAGGTACTTGTAACAAGATTCAAGTACTATTTGAATTGCAGTCTGCCTTGGAATTTGCTTAAGAGTTATAAACTTTCAACATGGTTCCTAGACAAATTGCCTGTTTTATGGCAGATAATCTTAAATTTAAGGTGTGGGGTACTGTATTATGTCGAGTTTTTATAACACTTTGGAAGAGAAATTTTCTTCTTCCATATCTGATACGTGACACAAATTATTATAGTTTCTAAAGGTTGATTTATGAGAGAATGGTGAGATTAATATTGTCACCTGGTGATCTAAGTCTATAGCTTTTAAATTCAAAGAGAAATACAAGATTCTGTAGCCTTTAGTATCAGAATATACTGGGCAGAGCTTATGATTTAAATTCTAATTCTAATTTTGATATTTTTCTATAATTTCTTTGTTATTAAGACACTTGATTTAAATGAACTCCAAGGAAGCCTAGTACTCTCATGTTGTTTGAGACTTTCTGTGAGTAAAATTGCTAATGCAAAGTTTAAAGTTCTATTCTTCGGTCTATATATATGTCAGTTTTAAAACTCAGTTTAACAAAGATTGTGTTGGATATGTTTTTACTACATAATTTAATGAAGTGCCATAATCCCAGGTCATATTAATTATTATTGCATTTTATGATATGAGTAATTAAGTCATAATTCAGATTGTGGACTGAATTCCAGAGGATCAGATAATATTGTTCCATCACTCAAAACATTCAGTGTGATAGGATCTGTCAGCACTTGACCCTTGAACAACACAGCTTGAACTGTGTGGGTCCACTTATACACAGATCTTCTCAGTAAATATGTTAGAAAAAATTTTTGAGATTTACGCCAATTTGAAAATTTTTCTTTATTGTAAGACTACAGTATATAATACATATAACACACAAAATGCGTGTTAATGGACTGTATATGTTATTAGTAAGGGTCTGGCCAGCAGTAGGCTACTAGTAGTTACATTTTTGGGAGTCAAAAGTTAAACATGGATTTTTGACTGCATGGGGTCTAGTGCCCCTACCCCTCGTGTTGTTCAAGGGTCAGCTGTAAATACATTATAATGTTTACTATTGCCCTTTTAAACACTTTATCTTTTTAATTCTTGTAATTTGGATCTTAAGACTAGTCTTAAATTAGTCCCTGATGAGTACTACAGACAAGCAGTTCAGCTCTCTGGAGCTTGATTTGCCCACATTATCCCAGATCTGCTATTGACTGGCTAAGCACTTTTGGGCAAGTTATCTAACTTCTGTATACTTCACATTCATTGTCTTCAATGGGGACTAAAAATATATCTACCTCATAGCATTATGAGATTTTAAATAACATAAATAATATTAAATAGTGTCTGGTCCATAGTAAGCTCTCAACGTTAGTTTTTACTATTATGATATAACTTTTTATTTCAAGATGAGGTCTCCCGAAGACGAAAAGTTACCAACAGGTCAGAAGCATTTAACATGCAAATGAGACAACGGAAAGGAACTCTCTCTGTTAACTTTGTAAGTGTTCTGACATGTGTCAGAAGGGAAAGGGTTTTTTTTTTTTATCTTGCTGTATCTTAGTATGCCTTTTAGTGAGTTCATTTGATTACAAGACTTGGTGGTGAATCTAGTTGCAGCTTTGGTTTATATAATGTTAACCTTGCCTTGTCACATATACATAGATTGTTTCCCTAAGTTACCTACCTCGTAAGTAACTAAGTGAGACTATGAATATGAATCTGTAAATCCTTGCACTGCTCATTATTCATTCTTTACCAAAGAATATTTGTATTTAAGAAGGATAATGTGGTGTATTTTATTTATAGAAACTGACTTTCAAGTGCCCTAGATTTGTAGTCTTTCTTTATTCTAATAACTTGATATGCTTTTATTAACTGGCTCGTAGAAGCTCTGAGGAAATTAGCAAGTTTCATAAAAAGCTATTTATGTACAATTGTTTAAAATAAAAATGATTTAAGTTATATTTGCTTTTTAGTGTACATACTTTGTTTCATTTAAGGAGTTCTGCCAAACATTTAACATAACTTATTACAGAAAGTAGACTTTTGTTTTGTTTGTTTTCTAACAGGTTGATCTCTATGTTTGTATGTTTTGTGGTCGGGGAAATAATGAAGATAAATTGCTTCTGTGTGATGGATGTGATGACAGCTATCATACATTTTGTTTGATTCCTCCACTACCTGATGTCCCCAAAGGAGACTGGAGGTGTCCTAAATGTGTTGCTGAGGTACAAGCCTAGCCTTTATGGATCCTTTTTTTAACTAACAACAGTAACACACACATATACTCATATAGTAAACATTCCCAAAAGCTTCTTTGTGCTTCAAATGTTAAAGATCATATTGAATGGAATGTAACAATTGTATTGTGGCAGCTTTCATTTTAAGGGGTGTTTTTTGGACAAGTTGGTTAGGTACTTATGTTTATTTCTGGGGATGAGTGAGACTTTTGCTTGGAATATTCATATTCCTGGAAAGCAATACAAATGAAGAAAGACTAGATTGTTTTTCCCTTTTTAATTGAAAAGAAGTAAAAATCAGACATGAAGCTTTCCAACTTAGGATTTGTGCATTGAGTTTTTATGCTGCCAAATAAACCGATGGTATCAACTTGTTTAAATTTTGACTTGACTGTATGTACTAAATTATTATTGAAGGATTATAATGATGTCATTGTTATGAAATGCCTACCCTGTTTATTTATTTTAACAATGTGATAGGACATTAAAAAGAAGGGGTTGGCTGGGTGTATCTAGATAGATGTATTCAAAGGTCTAATGGCCTTTGAATTAGTATTTATTCTAAAGGTTAGATGATTCAGAAGCAGTTCTACTCCAAGTATTTTTGTTAAGATATTGGTTATGGTGATTGATAGAAAAAAAACTTGTTCTTTAGTTAGGTATCTTAGCACTCCAGTGGATATCCCTTACTTTTCCTTCCTCCATGAACTCTTTCTCCACAGTGAAGAATGATAGGTGTCCTGGGCTTGATTCCAAGTCAGTGGTCTTCCAGGTCACTTCCAAACACTTCCAAGTCAGTGTTTGTCTTGGTGCCAGGCTTGTCTTAGACTCCAGAGTCTAAAGCTTTGGAAAGTCATACTAGCACCTTCCTACTGAAAGGCTGTGAAAATGCAGTTGATGTTCTAGAACATTATTTCCTGGTTCCATATTGCAAGGAATCCGTGCTTATTTTGCTGTTTAGGTTTAGATTTGCTTCACCAAGGGAAATGATCAAAGAAGTCAGTACCTGAGAGCCTTAAGACTTTTGTTCAGTACAGTTTCAGTGAGTTAATATTAGATCTGTTTTTTCTTCCTAAGGAATGTAATAAACCTCGAGAAGCCTTTGGATTTGAACAAGCTGTACGGGAGTATACACTTCAGAGCTTTGGAGAGATGGCAGATAATTTTAAGTCTGATTATTTCAATATGCCAGTCCATGTGAGTATGTGTCCTTTAGGTCAGTTTGGGGAAGCATGAGGAGTTATCTTGAGTCCAAAGCCTTTAGCGTACTTTTTACTTTCATTAGTTTATAGAAAATAAGACAGCATGAAAAGATAATACAACACAAAATGTAATGATTAGGAGTCCGACATGTGTTTCTTTTCTTTTACTCTCTAATGTGACAGTGTACACTTCTCTGTTGAGGAATCTGCTTTGATCCTCAAATTGTTTGTTAGCCCTCTCTGAATAATCCTTTTCAGAAAAGCTTGAGTATGTAGTAGTTGTTTCTTTGTTTAGTTATTTCTAATAAGAGGTTTGCTTATTTTCCTCAGGGATCTTGGTTTTTTAAATATTCTTACTAAAAAAAATTTGCCAAAGCAACTAAAATTCAGCCTTGATTTTTGTATTTTCCCTTTTCCTCTTTGGTGGTCCCTGGGTCATGGTTTATCCTTCTTAGTTGGGAGGCAGTTTTCAGAAAAAGGCAGTTCAAGTTCATTATGTTTTTTTCTGAACATCTTAGTTGCCTTTAGCTTTTCTTTATACTCAGTGGAAAAAGCTAGGACCCTAATCTTTCCAGCTTTGGGAAATGAGAAGGTTTTCTATTTTCTCATGGGTTTGTGTTCATTTGCTCTGTGTATTATGTTTTAGTGGGGTATTGTTATAGTGAGTTGGTAACCGATAATCTTTGTTTTCCCTGCGTAGATGGTTCCCACAGAATTAGTAGAAAAGGAATTCTGGCGGCTGGTGAGCAGCATTGAAGAAGACGTTATTGTAGAGTATGGAGCTGATATCTCCTCAAAAGACTTCGGAAGTGGATTTCCTGTAAAGGATGGTCGTAGAAAGATGCTCCCAGAAGAAGAGGTGCAGAGCAGATAGTAGTATCCAAATTTCTGCTTACCCCCAAGCTGACTTGGGCTTTGTATAGTAGAAAACCACCTTCTCTAATTTATTTAAAATATTAAGTATGTAGGATTTGGACAATATAAATCTTCAGTTTTAAAGACATTCAGAATACCTTTAAAAATTATTTACCATTGTATTTTAAAACCACTTTAATTTAAAAGTTTAACACCAGTTGAAAAATTTTACCTAGCTCTTTCTCTTTGAAAGTCTAAATGATGATACAAGTTTTTTTAAAAAGTTGCATTTCACTGATATGTCCAGAATTAAATTTCCTTCAACACCTGAGCAGTTTTAAAATAGCATTTAAACTGTAACATACAGTGAAGTTGTGTTACAAGACCGTATTTCATGACTTCTGTGTATAAAGCTGAATTAAGATGATCAGTTCTTTTTCTCTTTAGTTTGGTCCTTGTCACATTGTTCCCTCTACAATTGTCAGTGATTAAGAGTTTTATCTCTCATTTAAAGAGTTATGTGTGGTTAAAAAAAAAAGAGGTTACATAGTGCAGAAGAATGTAAAATTAAAATTATAGTCACTCCTGCTCTCTCAAGATTACTATTTGCATGATACATCTTTTTCTGTTCCTTTATTTTGAAGCTGTTTGTATCTTAGAATCTGAAGTGTCTCTCTTATAGGCAACATATGATTGGATCTTGCTTTTTTATTTAGTCTTATGGTTGGGTTGCCTTTTGATTGCAGTTTTTAGTCCGTGTGCATTAATGTAATTATTGATATGGTTGCTTTATGCCTGCCATTTTGCTATTTTCTATGTCTTATGTCTTTTGTTACTCTGTATCTCTTTTTTGGCCTTCCTTGGTGTTAAACAGATATTGTTCATATTACCATTTTAATTCCTCTGGATTTTTTTGGGGGGGGGGTCTATATATTTTTTAGTTACTTAGTGGTTCTAAAAATTACATATCTTTGTTTCTTGTTGACAGTGTACATCCTTAACTTATCACAGTCTACTTCTTGTTAATAGTGATTTAATTCTGGTAAATATAGCAACTTTGAAATAGTGTCTCTTCATTTCCTTTTCTCTCTTGTTTATCTACATATTGTGTAAGTACAGTAATGGCAGTAATAATTATTGATTTAAACTGTCTTGTGCATATATTGTTTTAATTTAAGAGAAGAAAGTACACATAGACTTTCTTTTACCTTTTTTTTTTTTATCATTCCTGGTGCTTTCATTCATTCCTGTGGATCCAAGTTACCATTGGTGTCATTTTCTTATTTGTTATGCTGGTCTGTTAGCAATGAATTCTTTCAGTCTTTGCTTATCTGGGAATATCTTTATTTAGCTTTTCAGTTTTGCAAGAGTGAATGTTCTCCAAAGTTATTTTTCTGCCTTTAGTTGATTTCTAGTGCCTTGAAAGGGTTGATAGTTTGGTCCAGATTTGTCTTTGTTTTCTGTGGAGGGGAATCACCCAATTTTCACATTATCACCAGTGGGAGTCCTTTATAATTAAATGTCTCCCTCCTAAATGTCCAGTCTGACAAAGCAAGACCGTATTTCATCCTTTAGTTTATCCTTTCAGATGTCATGTATCTATACGATCAGCTATACATCATGCATACAGAATTACATGTTCTTTTTTATCTACCAACACAGCTCTATACCTGACACTTTTTGTTGAGTTCCTTCATGCCCTGTCCAGTCCACCATAATTCTTATAGCATTATCTACCCAGTTGATTCATGGTTCCATATCTTTGTTATGCCAACCATCCATTCAGAAATATCCGAGTGCTTAATATATGCTGAATGAAGTTTTCATTTTGTTTTCTTTATGATCAAAGATTATAAGTGCCTTTTTTTATTATTATTAAGGTATCACTGATATACAATCTTATGAAGGTTTCACATGAGCAACATTGTGGTTATTATTCACCCATATTATCAAGTCCCCCCTGCCGCACACCCCATTGCATTCACTGTCCATCAGTGTAGTAAGAGGCTATAGATTCACAACTTACCTTCTCTGTGCTATACTGCCTTCCCTGTGATCACCCTACATTTTGTGTGCTAATCATAATACCCCTTAATCCCCCTTTCCCTCCCTCATCAACCACCTTCTCTACCCGCTTCCCTTTGGTAACTGCTAATTCCTTCTAGGCGTCTGTGAGTCTGCTGCTCTTTTGTTCCTTCAGCTTTGCTTTGTTGTTATTCTCCACAAAGGAGTGAAATCATGTGGGACTTGTCTTTCTCTGCCTGGCTTATTTCACTGAGCATAATACCCTCTAGCTCCATCCATGTTGTTGAGGATAGTAGGATTTGTTTTCTTTTTATGGCTGAATAATACTCCATTGTGTATATGTACCACATCTTTATCCATTCATCTACTGATGGACACTTAGGTTGCTTCCATTCTGGGCTACTGTAAATAGTGCTGCAATAAACATAGGGGTGCATATGTCTTTGAATCTGATAAGTTTTCTTTGGGTGAATTCTTGGGTCAAATAGTATTTCTATTTTTAATTTTTTGAGGAACGTCTATATTGCTTTCCACAACGGTTAAACTAATGTACATTCCCACCAGCAGTGTGGGAGGGTTCCCTTTTCTCCACATCTTCGCCAGATTTGTTGTTGTTTGTCTTTGGGATGTTGGCCATCCTAACTGGTGTGAGGTGGTATCTCATTGTGGTTTTAATTTGCATTACCCTGATGATTAGTGATGTGGAGCATCTGTTGGCCATCTGTATTTCTTTGAAGAAGTGTCTGTTCAGATCCTCCATCCACTTTTAATCAGTTTATTTGCTTTTTGGGTGTTAAGGCATGTGAGTTCTTTATATATTTTGGATGTTAACCCCTTATCTGACATGTCATTTATGAATATATTCTCCCATACTGTAGAATGCCTTTTTGTTTTACTGATGGCGTCCTTTGCTGTACAGAAGCTTTTTGGTTTGATTTAGTCCCATTTGTTCATTTTTGTTTTTGTTTCCCTTTCCCGAGGAGAAGTGTTCAGGAGAAAGTTGCTCATGCTTGTATTCAAGAGATGTTTGCCTGTATTTTCTTCCTTGAGTTTTATGGTTTCATGACTTACATTCAGGTCTTTGACCATTTCGAGTTTACTTTGGTGTATGGAGTTAGACAGTAATCCAGTTTCATTCTCTTACATGTAGCTGTCCAGTTTTCCTGACAAAATTTGTTGAAGAGGCTGTCCTTTTTCCATTGTATATCTATGGTTCCTTTATCATATATTAATTGGCCATATATGTGTGGGTGTTCTCTATTCTGTTCCATTGATCTATGGATCTGTTCTTGTGCCAGTACCAAATTATCTTGATTACTGTGGATTCGTAGTAGAGCTTGAAGTTGGGGAGTGTAATCCTTCCAGCTTTATTCTTCCTTCTCAGGATTGCTTTGGCGATTTGGGGTCTTTTGTGGTTCCATATGCATTTTAGAACTATTTGTTCCAGTTCCGTTGAAGAATGCTCTTGGTATTTTGATAGGGATTGCATTGAATCTGTAGATTGCTTTAGGCAGGATGGCCATTTTGACATTATTCATTCTTCTTACCCATGAGCATAGGATGTATTTCCATTTATTGGTGTTCTCTTTGATTTCTCTCAAGATTGCCTTGTAGTTTTCAGGGTATAGGTCTTCAATTCCTTGGTTAGGTTTATTCCTAGTTGTTTTATTCTTTTTGATGCAATTGTGAATGAATTGTTTTCCTGGTTTCTTTTTCTGCTAGTTCATTGTTAGTATATAGGAATGCCAAAGATTTGTGTATTAATTTTGTGTCCAGCACCTTTGCTGAATTCAGATATTAGTTCTAGTAGTTTGGGGATAGATTCATTAGGGTTTTCTATTTACAATATCATGTCATCTATAAACAGTGATAGTTTAACTTGTTCCTTGCCGATCCGGATGCCTTTTATTTCAGTGTGTTGTCTGATTGCCATGGCTAGAACCTCCAGTACTATGTTGAATAAAAGTGGGGAGAGTGTGCCTTCCTTGTCTTGTTCCCAATCTTAAAGGAAAATTTTTCAGCTTTTCACTGATAGGTATGATGTTGGTGTGAGTTTGGCATATATAGCCTTTATTCTGTTGAGGTACTTGCCCTCTTAACACATTTTTCTTGAGTTTTTTTATCATGAATGGATGTTGAATTTTGTCAAATGCTTTTTCATCATCTATGGAGATGATCATGTGGTTTTTGTCCTTCTTTTTGTTGATGTGGGGATGATAATGATGATGGATTTTCTAATATTGCACCATCCTTGCATCCCTGGAATAAATCCTACCTGATCATGATGCATGATCTTTTTGATGTATTTTTTAATTCGGTTTGCTAATATTTTGTTGAGTATTTTTGCATCTATGTTCATCTGGGATATTGGTCTGTAATTTTCTTTTTTTGTAGTGTCTTTGCCTGGTTTTGGTATTAGCGTGATGCTGGTCTCATAGAATGAGTTTGGAAATATTCCCTCCTCTTCTGCTTTTTGGAAAACTTTAAGGAGGATGAGTATTAGGTCTTCACTAAATGTTTGATGAAATTCAGCGGTGAAGCCATCTGGTCCAGGGCTTATGTTCTTAGGTAGTCTTTTGATTACCAATTCAGTTTTGTTGCTGGTAATTGGTCTATTCAGATTTTCTGTTTCTTTCTGGGTCAGCCTTGGAAGGTTGTATTTTTCTAGAAAGTTGTTCATTTCTTCTAGGTTATCCTAGCATATAATTGTTCATAGTATTCTCTAATAATTCTTTGTATTTCTGTGGTGTCCATAGTGATTTTTCCATTCTCATTCCTGATTCTGTTTATGTGTGTAGACTCTCTTTTTTTCTTGATAAGTCTGGCTAGGGGTTTATCTATTTTGTTTATTTTCTCAAAGAACCAGATGTTGATTTCATTAATTTTTCCTATTGTTTTATTCTTCTCAGTTTTATTTATTTCTGCTTTGCTCTTTATTATGTCCCTCCTCCTGCTGACGTTGGGCCTCATTTGTTCTTG